CTGGTGGGTTTGAACCACCAGCCTTCTGGTTAGCAGTCAAGTGCTTTAGCCACTATGCTACCAGAGCTCCTTTGTTGCCTATAGAAGTGTGAATTCTTTATGGGAAAGCATTGGCTTTATTTACTACTTTCACATTATCTGAATCTAGCACAGTGGTCCACCCACATGATAGTATTCAGTTAGGAATGAATTAATCAATTGTACAATGAAAGGGGAACACTAAATAATTTGTATAATCTGATCAACATAATTCTAATTTTCCAAGAAAAAAAAAATGCCACTCTGTCTTGTAGATTCAGAACTGCCCCTGAATCAGAGATCAAGCCTGTTCCAGTTGGGAGGAATTTAAGAAACTCTAGAAATTATTTTACTCTCTGCCTTACTGTTGGCCCTATCTTATTCTATAGGTCAAAGGCTTTGGTTTCTCTTTAATGTCCAAGACAAACTTTCCACTTTTCCCCTCCTTATCTCCTTTGTCCCATACTGCTGTGACTGGGATCTTGACTTGCTTTCCTTCTTTGAGTCATTTCAGAGTCCTGTCTTGTCCTCTATTCCAATTCTTTTGTAGAGATCTCCATAAAGAAGAGAGGTCCACCTAAGTCTGGTTAGGAGTCTGCACCTTTTCCTATTGCTGTATTAGCCAAATCTAGCTGAGACTATGCTCTGTGTGTCTTCCAGAACAGACATTTCTTGTGTTGCCTACCAATAATCTACACACGACGTCTCATCCACTTGTCTGCACCTGCTTTTGTTGCTTGTGATTTACGTTCCTTTCTTTGTTATTGTAAGTATTTCTGGTATCTAATCCCTGTCAAATAACTCATATTATAGCCCCAAAATATGGGAACTGGACATACTGAATCTAATAAGCAAAGGCTATGGTTAGACAATTACTAGTTAACCCTACTGTTATGACTTGGCACCTCTGTTAATGTCATTTAGGCAATAAATGTTCATTGACTCTTTTTGCGTCTATATCACAGTGTGTCATAATTGATCTTTTATGCTCTGATGCCATTGAATGTCTCCAAAATCCTGCATTTATTTATCTTAATATGAATTTGCAATTATTATTGATAATAACTAAAGTGCTATTGTTGTTGTTGTTGTTGTTAGTCACCATTGAGTTGGTTCTAACTCACAGTGACCTTCTGCACAACAGAACAAAATAAGGCCTGGTCTTGTGCCAGCCTCACAATCCTTGCTATACCTGGTTTCATCATTGCAATCACTGTGTCAATCCATCTTGTTGAGTGCCTTCTCCTTTTTCATTGACCTTCTACTTTACCAAACATGATATCCTTCTATAGGGAATGGTCCCTTCTAACAACATGACCAAAGTAAGTGAGACAAAGTCTAGCCATTCTCACTTCCAAGGAACATTCCGGCTGCACTTCTTCCAGGACGGATTTGTTCATTCTTTTAGCAGTCCATGGTACTTTCAATATTCTTCACCAACACCACAACTCAAACGCATCAACTCTTCTTTAGGTCTTTCTTATTCATTGTCCAGCTCTCATATGCATATGAGGCAACTGAAAATACCATGGCTTGGGTAAGGCGTACCTTAGTCTTCAAGGAGACATCTTTGTTCTTCAGCACTTTAAAGAGTTCTCTTACAGCAGATTTCCCCAGTGCAATACATCTTCTAATGTCTTGACTGCTGCTTCCATTGGTGTTTATTGTGGAGCCAAGTAATATGAAATCTTTGACAACTTCAATCTTTTCTCCATTTGTCATGATGCTACTTATTGGTCCAGTTGTGAGGATTTTTATTTACTTTATGTTCAGGCATAATCCATACTGCAGACTGTAGTCTTTAATCTTCATCAGTAAGTGCTTCATGTTATCAGCACCATTAGCAGGCAAAGTTGTGTGGTCTGCATATAGCAGGTTGTTAATGAGTTTTTCTCCAATCTCAATGCCATGTTCTTCTTCATATAGTCCAGCTTTTCAGATTATTTGCTCAGCATATAGATTGATAAGTGTGGTGAAAGGATACAGCCCTGATGCACTCCCTTCCTGATTTTAAACCATGCATTTCTTTCACCTTGTCCTGTTCCAACAGCAGCCTCCTGGTCTATGTACAGGTTCCTCATAAGTACAATCATGTGTTCTGGAATTCCCATTCTTCTCAATGTTATTCACAACTTGTTATGATTCACACAGTCTAATGCATTTGCATAGTTAATAAAACACAAGTAAACATCTTTCTGGTATTCTTTGCTTTGAACCAAGATCCATCTGACATCAGCAATGATATCCCTGGCTCCACGTCCTTTTCTGAAACTAGCTTGTATTTCTGGAAGTTCTCTGTGAATATACTGCAGCAAGATTTTATTTACTTGCATGAGATATTAACAATACTATTTGATAATTTCCACATTCTGTTGGATCACCTTTCTTGGGAATGGGTACAAATATGGAACTTTTCCAGTCAGTTGGCCATGTGGTTATTTTCCAAATCTCTTGGCACAGCTGAGTGAGTGCCTTCAGCATGACTTTCATTTGTTGAGCATCTCAATAGGTATTCTGTCAATTCCTGGAACCTTGTTTTTCACCAATTCCTTCATTGTGTCTTTGACTTCTTCCTTTAGTATCATTGGTTCTTGATCATATGCCACCTCCTGAAATGGATGATCATCCACCACTTCTTTTTGGTACAGTGACTCTGTGTATTCCATCCATCTTCTTTTGATGTTTCTCGCATCATTCAACAGATTGTCCATGGGATCTTTCAATATTGCAATTTGAAGCTTAAATTTTTTCTTCAGTTCTTTCAGCTTGAGAAATGCTGAGCATGTTCTTCCATTTTGATTTTATAACTCCAGGTCTTTGAACATTTCATTACAATAATTGACTTTGTCTTCTTGAGCTGCTCTTTGAAATTTTTTGTTCAGCTCTTTTATCTTGTCGTTTCTT